TAGCTTTTCTTCCAAGGAGCAGCAAGTGTCTTTTAATTTCATGGCTGCAGTCACCATCTGCAGTGATTTTGGAGCCCCCAAAAATAAAGTCTGTCACTCTTTCCATTGTTTGCCCGTCTGTTTCCCATGAAGTGATGGGAAATGCCATGATCTTCGTTTTCTGAATGTTGAGTTTTAAGCCAACTTTTTCACTTTCATCAAGAGGCTCCTTAGTTCTTCTTTGCCATAGTGGGTTTAGCATAATTCTGAAGGGTCAAAGGATTTTTGGAATGGTTAATGTGCATTGGCTTCAAGTTTAGTCACTGACTGCACTGTCCCCTACCAAGAGAGTCAGCCTGTCGTCCTAAGCTTTGAAATCTTGAAGCCAGGCATTGACTTATCTTCTCTAGCTATGAAAGTCCTAAGGTATTGGAAAGTTTTTTATTACTTATTTTAGGTAGATATTCTGGATAACTTGGTGCGGCTTCTGCATCAGCCCTTGATCCTTCACCTCACACTTTGATGTTACAGAGATGGCTTCTTTCATTAACCTCATGAACCAGTCTCTGCTATCTTCAAACTTTTCTTTTGTAGCTTCCACATCTCTCTTAGCTTTCACAGAACTGAAGAGAATTAGGGTCTTGCTCTGGATTTGGCTTTTGCTTGAGGGAATTTTGTGACTGGTTTGGTCCTCTATCCAGATCACTGAAACTTTTCCACATGCAGCTATTTGGCTTTCTTATCATTTGTGTGTTCACTGGAGTAGTTCTCATTTCTTTCAAGAACTTTCTTTGCATGTACAACTTGACTTAATTGTTTGGCACAAGAAGCCTAGCTTTTGGCCTTTTTTGGCTTTCATCATGCCTTTCTCACTAAACTTGTTTCTGGGGACTTCCCTGGAGGTTCAGTGGCTAAGACTTCATGCTCCCAGTGCAGGGGCCCAGGTTCTATCCCTGATCAGGAAACTAGATTCCACATGCCACAACTAAGAGTTTGCATACCACAAGTAAGACCAGGAACAACCAAATAAATAATTTAAAAACCATTTCTAGTTTTTTATTTAAAGTAAGAGAGCTGTGACTCTTCCTTTCACTTGAATATTTAGAGGCTATTTTAGGATTATTAACTGACCTGGTTTCAATATTGTTGTATCTCAGGAAATAGGGTGATCCAGGGAGAGATTGAGAACAGGAAAACTATCCATTGGTAGAGTAGCCAGAACACACACATTTATTGATTGTCACCTTATATTAGCATGGTTTGTGGTATCCCAAAACAATTAGAATAGTAACATCAGAGATCACAGATCACCATAACAAGTTTAACAATAATGACAAAATGAGAAATATTGCAAGAGTTACCAAAATGTCATACAGAGACACTCCCCATAATTAGAGAAAGCCCACTTGCAGCAATGAAGACCCAGTGCAACCAAAAATAATTTTTTTTTAAAAATTGGACCTTTATTTTATACACTTGAAGCTAATATAATATTATGAATCAGCTCTTAACAATGTGAGCAAATGCTGATGGAAAAATTGTACCAATTGACTTGCTCAATGCAGGCCTAACACAAACCCTTATTTTGCAAAAATAGTACAAAACAAAAACAAACAAAACCGTAATATTTGGGAAGCACAATAAAGCAAAGTGCAGTAAAAGTATAGTATGCCTGTACTGCAACTTGATTATCTAGTTACTTGTTCTTAGACATCTTTGTTCCTTGTTTACATCATTTTTTAGTGGACTGTCCTTTTAAATCTGTTTTCTATCTTTGAAAAATTTAGTGATGGGACTTCCTGGTGGTTCAGTGGTTAAGACTTTATGCTTCCACTGGAGGGCACAGGTTTGATCCCTGGTTGGGGAACTAAGATCCCACATGCCACACAGCATGACCAAAAAAGCAACAAGCCTCTAGGTAGGGAATGCCTTGATGGTTTAGTGGTTGGAACTTCATGCTTCCATTGCAGGGGGCACGGGTTCAGTCCCTGGTTGGGGAACTAATATCCCACAAACTGCAGGCAGAGTCCATAATAATATAAATCAAAATTTATTATTTGTGTGTGTGTGTGTATATATATATATGTATATATACACACACTCAAACTTTCTGTTTTTCAAATTAATCTATTATTTTTGGTTGCACTGGGTCTTTGTTGCTACAAGTGGGCTTTTTGTAGCTGCAGTGAGCGGGGGCTACTCTTCATTGTGGTGCATGAGCTTCTGATTGCTGTGGCTTCTCTTATTGCGGAGCACAGGCTCTGGGCCCACAGGCTTCAGTAGTTGACAGCATGCAGGCTCAGTAGTTGTGGCGCACAGGCCCTTAATTGCTCCATGGCATGTAGAATCTGCCCAGGCAAGGGATCCAACCTGTGTACTCTGCTTTGGCAGGCAGATTCTTTACCACTGTACAACCAGGGAAGTTAGCTGTGTGTGTGTGTGTATATATACATATAGTGTTAAAATACATACAAAATTTACCATCTTAACTATTTTAATTTCATTTAGTAGTTAAGTAATAGTAAACATATTATCTTTGTTGAACAGCCATCACCACCATCCATTCTCATAACTCTTTTCTTCTTGTAAAACTGAAGCTTTGTGCCTGTTAATAACTCCCCTTTTCCCCCTCCTCCAGCCCCTGACAACTACCTCAGCCTATATTTGATTACTAACCTCATATAAACAAATCATATAGTATTTGTCTCCTTGTGATTGGCCTATTTCACTTAATATTGTGTCTTCAAGGTTCATCCATATAGCATATTGAAAGTTTTCCTCCTTTCTAAGGTTGTATTTCTATAACAGAATTTGCTTATCCATTCACCTGTTGATAGACACTTGGGTTTGCTTCCATATTTTAGCTCGTGTGAATAATGCTGTTATGAATCATGGGTGTACAAATACCTCTTCAAGATTCTGCTTTGAGTTCTTTTGTAAATATACCCAAAAGTGGAATTGCTGGATCATATGGTAATTCTATCTTCAACTTTTGAGGGCCTTCCATACTGTTTTCCACAGTAGCTGTACCATTTTATAATCCTACCAGCAGTGCACAAGGTTCCAGTTTCTCCATATCCTCTCCAACACTTCATTGTTTTCTATTTCTTATTAGTAGCCATCTTAGTGGATGTGACGTGGTATTGCTTTGTGGTTTCAGTTTATGTTCCTTCAGGAATTAGTGATGTTGAGTGTCTTTTCATATGCTTATTGTCCATTTGTATATCTTTAGAGAAATGTGTATTCAAGTTCTCAGCCCACTTTTTAGTTGGCTAGTTGTATTCTTTTTTTTTTTTCATTTTAACAGTTTTTTAATGAAAGCTGTAGACAAGATTACTTTATTCCTGCATCTTCTCAATTGTTTCTTCCTTATATTTGCCCTTTTCCTTTCCTACTTGGCAAGATTTGGCTTTAGGTTCGAGGATCGTTTTGCAGTCTTTGTCCAGTTTTAGTCTGGTGGTAACCACCTTGCTGGGGTGAACGCCCACATGGACAGTTGCGACATCAGCCTTCTCCCGCTGCACTCGTTCAGTGCAGATGCCGTGTTTCTTCCTGTAAACCTGGACTTCTCTGCCAGTTTGCTGCCCCTTGTAGTGCACCTGAACTTCCTCATCCTTTTGGATGGGCATGGATCGAACGTTGTACTTCTGTCTTAGCTCTTTAGAAAGAGGAGAAGATATAATTTTCCTGAGAATGTGGGAGGGTGCATTGATATGCCTTTTTTGATTCTCGCTTCTGTCAGAAGTCACAAAGGGATTGAACTTCATTTTGGCCGCTGACGCTTCAGCGATGGTCACAGGAGGGAAGAGATCTGCAGGCTGTCAGTTATATTCTTAAGCATGGTTTTAACACCATTTTTGTCCTCTCTATTTCATGCAAATTGGTAGCTAGATCTAGAGACTTAATCAGGATTGGGCTTGATTTTGGAGCAGCAGAGAGAACAAAAAAACATAGTATATGTCACTGTGTGTCTCTGGTATACTAGCTGTTGCTGATCATTGACTAGATACATTAATTCATTAAGGGGTGCTATCTGTTGCTATTTCTGTTCTATATTTTTTCCATTTGTTACTCAAAATACTTTCCCTCATATTCATTACCCTTAGCTATAGGTTATATATGTGATGTATGATAAATGCCTGGTTCTAACTTTTATTACCAGTTTTCAAAATAATGTGTTGGTTCCCTTGTTGTTACTTAGTCACTAGGTCCTGTCAAACTCTTTTGCAACCCCATGAACTGTAGCCCGCCAGGCTCCTCTGTCCATGGGATTTCCCAAGCAAGAATACTAGAGTGGGTTGCCATTTCCTTCTCCAGGGAATCTTCCCAACCCAGGAATTGAACCTGAGTCTCCTGCATTGCAGGCAGATTCTTTACTGTCTGCGCCATAAGGGAAGCCCCTTCAAAATGACCTTCAAAAACTACTGTTCAGATATTTTTTGTTTTTGAATATTTAAACATATTTGTTGTGTTTATTGTCCTTACTGATGAAGTGTGACCTCTTTGAGTCCTTTTGTTAGGGTATTTTTCAATGTTCCTTGCTTTCTAATGGGACAAGATATTCTAGGCTCCTATACATTTTCTGTCAAAAGGCTCTGGAGTCACCAGGTTACTTTTATTTATTTCCCTTTTTAAGGGTTGTACTGTTTTGAATGCCCATCATCAGTTTATCAGAGTATGTGTTTTGCCACAGCTTTTTCAGTAGAGTATGTTGTCAGATTTTTAGGCTTTTGCCAATTTTATAAGTGAGAAATATTAATTCCATTCTAATTGTGTTTCTCTGTGAGCAAGGTCTAGCATTTTTTCACATAAGAGCCACTTGCCTTTTTTCTCCTTGTTTTGATGAGTTGCAGTTAGTTTTAATATTTTGACTTTTATGATTTTACTTTGTTTATTGTATTAATTGTATTTTCTGTGTAAAAGTTTTTAAAATGTTTTTAAAATGTAAATTAAATATATTTGTGAAAGTATACCCTTAATCCTTTGTGATTATATATTCTTTGTGTTCTTCTTGCTTTTAGGCAAGGATAAAAGCCATCAATACATTTTTTGCTAAGAATGGTTATCGATTAATGGATTCTAGTATGTATAGTCAGCCCATTCAAACTCAAGCACAGTATGCCTCACCGGTCTTCATGCAGCCTGTATATAATCCTCACCAACAGTACTCTGTCTATAGTATTGTGCCTCAGTCTTGGTCTCCAAATCCCGCACCTTACTTTGAAACACCGCTGGTAAGTGAGATCCTTAGAGAATATATAGTTTTTCACTGAAGTTGAAATTTGAAGAAATCAGAGTTAGAGTTCTTGTTTTATTTTGTTTTGTGTTGATAGTTGTTACTTTCTAGGCTTTAAATGGTGATAAGTATATTTAATACCCCAAATCAAATTAAACATTAAAATTTTTTTTTAGGCTCCCTTTCCCAATGGTAGTTTTGTGAATGGCTTTAATTCACCAGGATCTTATAAAACAAATGCTGCTGCTGCCGCTGCCGCTGCCGCCGCTGCTGCTACTATAAATATGGGTCGACCATTCCAAAAAAATCGGTAAGGTAAAATATGATAGCTGGAATTTATTGTACATAATTCCCGGTAGTTCTTACAGTCACTATGTGAATAGCAATGCTTATTTTCTAACACAATAAAAAGGGTCCCACCTCCCCCCTGAAAAAAAGTGTGTTAACAATTAATAAACACACTTTTACCTCAGAGTTGATAATGCATATAAAAAGGATTTGGGACTGAGATTATACACCAGTATATATATTGACCTTTTTTTTTTTAATAATAAAGAGAACAAAAAATTTTGTGGTAACAATATAAAATCTGGTTTCTAGGTACCATTTAATATGTTAACATTTTGGAGAATGAGTTTTTTGATGGTAGAAATGTTAACTGATTTGAGTAATAAATACTGGGAGAGTGAGTTATTTATCGTTTTTAAGGATTGACTTGATTTCCACAAACTATGATGTGCTGAGTCACTCAGTCATGTCTGACTCCTTGCGACCCCAAGGACTGTAGCCCGTCAGGCTCCTTTGTCCATGGGGATTCTCCAGGCAAGAATACTGGAGTGGGTTGCCATGCCCTCCTCCAGGGGGTCTTCCTGACCCAGGGAGCGAAGCCAGGTCTTCTACATTGTGGGTGGAGTCTTTACTGTCTGAGCCACCATGGAAGCCCGTTCTTTACTGAGTCATGTCTAAAGTTCTGTTTTAAGGCCTTGACTTGTTAATTTTCATAACCCTGTAGATACAGTACTGTTTCTATTCAAAAGAAGAAATTTGAGAAATAAAAATGTTATATATCATGTCTAGAAGCATGTAGCCAGTAGCTTGCAGAGCCAAGATTTGAGTCCAGGCAGTTTGATTCCAAAGCCTACACTTAAACCATAGTATTCTGAATAAATTATTAAGAACTCCAGAGTCTCAGTTGAGATTATCCACTGATAATCTCAGTAATTTGGTATATAATATGACTTTTGCCAGGGTGTAAGTAACCAAAGGAGAAGGGGCTCAGATTTATTTAGTTGTTTAGATTTATTTAGTAGTTCACATCTATTATTTCTCTGCCTTATTTTGTGAGCCTCCTATGTTGTTTTTTTTCCTAATTACTTCTGTTCAGTAATTTTTTTTTTCTTGCCAGAATGAGAATTCTCTTACTTGGTTCTTTTTGTCAAGGAGACCACATGTGGGGTATGGTTTTCCAAAATAGCTTTTAGGAACTTAATTCTTTTTTATAAGGTTTTTCTGAAACATGCTTCACTGAAGAAACAAGCCTTCCAGTATTAAAAAAATACTCTAGAAGCATTCATATGTACCACTCTCTAATAGTCACAGATTTTGTATTCACTTTTAACTGACACGTTTGGTTTAAACATTTGAACATCTTTGTTGTTGTTTGCACCAGGAAGCTTGTAGAATCTTAGTTCCCCAATCAGGTATTGACCTTGGGCCCATAGCACTGATAAAGCCAAGTCCTAACCACTGGACCTCCAGAGAATTCCCTGAAGGTCACTTTTAAGTGTTTGGAAATTTTTACTATATATACACATTCATAATTGTTTTATAAGGTTTCAAGTGAGAGCTCTTCATGTTGTAAGAATGAAGGATTCTTTATAAAGATTACTTGTGCTCTTAGAAATGACTGTTAGTTTGATACAGTAATAAGAACAAAATTCAAGTAATTGCTAGGACATATGTGTAGAAGTACAATGAGCCTTAAATTAACACACACTGTCCTCTAACCTCCATTCTGTTAAAAAATATTTAATTACCATATGCATATAGAGACAGTGATGTTTAAGTCTGGAAAGACCTTTGTTATAGTGTAGTTTTATTAATTCATTTTACAGATGAAGGAACTGAAAGTTGAGGGGGATGGTTGTCTTACTAGGGTTCAGTGCAGTCCAGTTCAGTCGCTCAGTCGTGTCCGATTTACTAGGGTCACATGGCTTTTAATTAGCAAACCTGAGATTAGTATATTTATTTTTCTTCTACAATAGCTAGTAAAGTTTTTTTTCCTTGAAAATAATTCCATTAATGACAGTTTATACTTCCCTTGTGAGGAGATATAGATTTCTTATGATTAAAAATAGTAACTTTGTAGAAATACGTATCTGTTGATTTCACTTTTCTTTGAAGGGGTGAATTTTGCTCTAAGCAGTAAAGTGAAATAGACATCTTGGTTATATGATAGACTAAAAACAGTTTTCAGTAACAACAAAAAGTATTAGTGTTTGCAGATGTTTACCTTAAAAATACGTTATATGGGTTTATGGTATTCCTTTATTGTCACTTGATGTTTTTATCTGCTTTGTTTTCTTGGCAAAAGAGATAAAATTGCAATAAGAAAGCCAAAAATGACAGTCAAGCCATTCTTGCTTACAAGGAGATGTATCTGTGGTTTTGGAGATACAGATTTAGTGTGATTTTCCTTGTTACTCAAATCTATTTGTGTATAGTTTTATCCGTATATTTGACCAGTGTAGATAGTTACTAATTTTTAGTCACAGAAATAATAGATACTTCCTTATAAAAATGTAGATGTTGCAGATGAACTAGAGTCTTTTGACTACAAACCCAAATCTTGATTTCCGTAGTGACCACTGCCAAGCCTTTATTTTTGTATATTTTAAGTCATTGGTCAAGGAGCAGTTTATAATACTAACCTTGTAACAACAGCCCAGTGATGATCATAGGACTAACTTTCAGAAGTCTGGACAATTTTCTTCCTTTAATACTTTATCTTTCTGTCACTTTCCTTCTCGTCTTTTGTCACATTTCTTTCATCATCCTTTTTTCTTTTGCCTGGACTTTGATTGTAAGTCCTTCTCTGTGAAGGGAAAGATTATGAGATCTGGGGGCTGTTTAAACCTAGTAACTTGTCTTATTGGGTGTATTGATGCAGTGAGATTTTGGTGATAGTTTGACAGATACATAAACAGCATGTGTATCTCCTGAGGTCATTTTCAGATCTGATGGATAATATAAATGTTTTGAAAATTAGTTTGTGTTAGTTGACACTGAATTTCATTGCTATTCAGAATCTATTTTGTATCATGTAAGTAATTTTCTAGAAAAGTATCATATATGAGACTTAGCTAAAATTTATAGCCTGATATTTATGTTTGTTTTAGTAGTAGTACCTTCATTTGTTATATTCTCTACAGAGTTAGTAGGATAGTTGAATAACTACGAAAATAGACTAAAAGAATGGAGTATATAAACTGCAGGGAAGGGGCTAAATGGAAATCTAGTACTTCCTTTTTTAATCTGCTGTAGAGCCAGGATCCTCAGTTTCTTGGGCTTACTTGAAATATTCTCACTTTTTAAAAAATAAAGTTTATTTATTAATTTTAATTTTGACTGTACTGGGTCTTTCTTGTGGCCCCAAGCTCTCTCTAGTTGTGGCACATGTGGCCTGCAGGCTCTGGAGCACGTGGGCTAAATAGTTGGAATGGCTTGCAGGCTTAGTTGCCCCATAGCTTATAGCATCTTAGTTCCCCAACCAGGGATCGAACCCCTGTCCCCTGCATTGGAAGGTGGATTTTTTTTTTTTCTAATTTTATTTTCATTTGGAGGATAATAGCAATATTGTGGTGGTTTCTGCCATATATCAACATGAATCTCACACATACACACCCCCACCCTTGTATCTCCTGGGAGGCAAATTCTTAACCACTGGACCACCCAGGAAGTCCTACATGTTTTCACTATTAATTAAACTGCATCCTCTTTCATTTATTATACCCTAGTTTCATCTGCTTATAGTTGTTAGAGAGTTGGGTACTTACACCTGTCTTCCAAGGTAAAAGCTACTTTTGTTGAAGTAGGTGGTTTTTGTGTTTTGTTTGGTTTTGGTTTGGTTTTCTGTTTCTCGTCAGATTTCTTACCTTAATTCATGAAGTCATGCCAGGCTATTAGTTGCATTATATTTTCCTAGTTGTTTGGTCCCACAGTTTTGTTGGATCTTTGAACAACTGTTTGCATTTGGAGAGGGATGCTTAGTAAGAAACTTTAATTTTAATATATTTCACTATTCCTTGCTATTTTTTTTTAATTTTCAGTCCCCTAAAGAGCCTTTTTAGACTTTTCCCCCAATTCCCTCATATGATAATTTAATGCTAGAGATTATTGTATATCTACTTACTCCAATTCTTACTCCCTTTGGGGGTTTTATTGCCACATTGAGAATGTATGGCATAGATTCAATAAGCTTCTAGTCTGGCTGATTTATATATATCCAAACTATATCTTGTGCTAAGGAAGTTAGCTGAAATCCTAGTTATATCCTGAATTTTGAGGTAGAAGTAGCTTAATCTTGAAGGACTTTGGATCATCCCCAGATTGCTCCAAACAACATTAAGTAAAAATTCTTTGCCTTATAAACATAATATATCTGAGACATTAAAGGGTTTACATTTTTACAATATAATGCTTCTGTGTCCAACCTCGTTTATGGAAAATCAGAATACAGCAGAAGGCAGTTTTTAATTTGGCCTATTAAGAATTCCTACCACTAAGAGGAAGGATTTTTCTGTCTTAATTTATTCTTTCGTGTATATGGCCTTATGTTTCTTACAGTGTGAAGCCTCATTTTAGGTCAGGTGGTTCAGAACATTCAACAGAGGGCTCTGTGTCGTTGGGGGATGGACCATTGACCAGATCTGGTTCAAGGAACTTTGTAACTGAACGACATAATCCTGCAGTAACAGGGCATCAGGAACAAAGCTACCTTCCAAAAGAGACTCCCACTTTGCAGATGGAACAGAATGGGGACTATGGCAGGGGCAGGTAAGGAAATATGGTAATAAATATGTAAATAATGTATATGAAAATTCTTTCATCATAATATGAATATTGGAAGTCCGTGATCTAGTGATTTTTTTTAAATTTAATTATTGGTATATAGTTATGCTAAAAAATTTTTTGTTCACGTAATATGAGTTACTAGTTTTTCATAATTAAAAAATTTATAATCCCTATAAAGAATATAACTCTGAGTCAGGTTTATAAAAGTTATTCTGAAGTTCTTTACAGTTCACTAAGGAAAGATTACCTTAGAAAGATCTTATGCCACCATAGGTTTAATTTCTGGCAACGTGTGAACTGTGGGAATTATAACTGTGGTTATATATTGTCTACCCTTCCTAAACCAAAAAACTGAACCCTAATATGTTTCTGATGTGGAGGGAGTACTGCTAATAAAAATAGGACCAGTTTACTTAGTGGTGATGGTGGTGGTAGTAGGTGAAGTTTTCTGTAGATTAGCTCAGGAACCCTTCAGAAGAATATATATCTTTTAATAATAAAGGAGATTTAGGAAGTATAGATACTTAAAACAGAAATTCACCTATCTTTGATAGAACATACACATTTGAAGAAAGTTAATGAGTTCTCCTTCCCCCACCCCCACCCCCACCCCCTTTTATCATTGTTAAAAGGAGAACTCTCTTCAGAGGTCGAAGACGTCGGGAAGATGAAAGGATCCCAGTAAGTTGTTTTTTTTTTTAACTTTTAATTACATGTGTTCAGGGTTGGTTGGTTTGTTTTTTGTGTGTGATTTAGTATGGGATTGACTTCTGGTATGTCTTTCCTTGATTTTGTTTTATTGCTTGTAATATTCAGCAAAGATAATTACGACCTGTTTTTGACCCTGAAGTATCTACCATCACCACCACTCATCACCCTCAAAGCACACATGTAGTTAGAGATTTGACCTGTATTGCTCACTTTTTTTTTAAAAAAAATTGCTTGAATGCCTAACCTTTTCACATGGTTTAAAATAAAATCCATGAAAATATTCCATGTAAAGTTTAATTATTGCTTTATTAATGGAGATTTAAGGAATTTCGATGTTCTACTCTTACACTGCTGTTACAAACAGTGCAGTGGTAATCTCATATAACCATCACTTCCTGTCTGTGCAATAGTATCTGAAGGAGAATCCCTGGAGGTGATTTCTGAGTCCCGGTTCAGTGAGTTACTGCCTGATGCTTTCCTGTAGGGTTTGTGGTGGTTTTCACTCAGTGAGGGAAGTTCCTGTTTGTCCATAGCCTTACAAAGTGTGTGATTTTTTGCAAATCTAATACAGTATGTGGTTCACTTTTAAAGCTCTGTTGGATGGTATTGGAAATTGTTACACTATTTATTAATTGTTACTTAGGGGCAATTCTCTACCTATTGCTGATTTTTATATTTCCCACTTAAGATTTTTAAAAAAATTTTTTATAGTTCTAGGCAGGTTTTTGAATCCTCACTTAGCTAGCTTCAAATTATTCATATTTTAATTTTTTGAGGTTTGTTCATGGTGAATGTTTGCCATCTCCTAACTGGTCAAAAGGAGTTGAGGAATAAAAACAGTGTAGGAAAGCATGGAGGTTTCAAGAAAATACTAGAATTTACATTTATATACATTTATATATGTGTGGAATATAATGCTTTACCATGCATAAGTAGTAAGTTAATATACATATATAATAGTGTACTATATAGTGTTTGTGTAATGTACCTAAAAATATACAGATACCACATGTTTAAGCAGTGAAAAGTGACCAACTTTCAAAGAAAAATAATTGTGTTTTAACACAAAGAATAGTTCTTGGGGCAAACTGTGAACCCTTTAAAAAGTGTGGTTGTTTGCATTTACAGCTTTCTATACCATGGACAGCCTTGAGATTGTAAGGCACGTTTTTAAAGATATCATTGTAGCAGGCCATGTGAATCTTCAAGTGTCCCTGAACAATTGAGAGGAGAGTCTAGGTTTGAGGTCTGTTCAGTGTGTTGAAAACATCTAGCCTGAGGATTGAAAGAAAAGTAGGCAAACATGCTTTTTTGTAGAAAAGGCAGGGTGGGGGTGCCATTGTGCAGTGAGGAGATCTTACCTAGAGGTGAAATTTAGAATTTATAGGCTTACTTGTAGTAATTACAGTTATAAGAATAGATAAGGTCATGAGGGGACTCTGTGTAGATTGATTTTTAAAACAGCAAGAGTGGAACCTTGAGGATCATGGTAGCTTTGGGGTTGAAAAATGAATTATTTCATTTTGTTTGACGTATCCAAGAGAAATCCAAGTGGAGATGGCTAATAGGCAAGTGGATATCTGGGTTTCGGGCAAAGATCTGCTCTGAAAATATTTAAAAGTGTACAATCTAGTGATTTTTGGTAAATTTTCAGAGTTGTGCAACCAAAAATTTTCCAAAAAGTGAAAATGATTGTTTTTAGAGTTGTTTGCACATAGGTAGTAGTTGAAGCCATGGATAATGGATATCACACAGGGAGAGTTTGTAAAGGCAGTAAGAGTAGTAACCATACAGAAATCAAAAACCTTCCAAAGAAGTTGACAGGGAAAGGTGAGCACATGCGCGTCAGACCTGAGAGTGAAGAGAAAGTATTAGAAGCTAAAGGAAGGTGCTCGCTTCGGCAGCACATAGACTAGAAGCTAAAGGAAGAGTGAGCTCCCATAGGAAAGAATGTTTGCTCTAGCGAGGTCAGTGGGGGGAACCTCAGATTTTGTATTATGTAAGGTATTGGTGACTTGTCAATGCAGTTTTAGTGATGTGGTAAATACAGAGGTGAGGGAGTAGAGGAGAAAATACAATATGTCAGAGGTTTGTCTGAGAATATAGAGAATGGTAGATGAAAGAAAGATAAGATTCTTAAGGAAGGATATTGTTTTCTCTTGAGACTATGGAAGGAGAAAAGATGCTGGCAAATCTAGATAGTGTAGGGTGTTTTGTTGTTGTTGTTACGGGAGAGGCTATAGCAAATTTGGAAAGCAAAGAATAAGTGGAGATTGATTTGAAGGTTTAAGGAAAGTGGCAAAAGTTTGCAAAGGAACCAATAGAAGAAGCTGACTAAGGATAAACTGGACCAATAAATTACTAATGAGAGCTCAACTGAGATGAGAATCCAAGAATTTATAGAGGAACAGTTCCATTTATTAGGGTGCAATTTTGTTTGTTTCTACAGCTTTCAGCTTCTGTGGTACAGGGTTAAGGAATGAAATAGACATGTAACCTGTTTTTTGACTTGTGTCTTTTAGAGACCCCATCCTTCAACAGCTGAAGCAAAGGTTCCCACACCAAAGTTTGACTTGCTAGCCTCAAATTTTCCTCCTTTGCCTGGAAGTTCATCAAGAACCCCAGGTGAACTTGTTTTGGAGAGCAGGATGTCTGATGTTGTTAAGGGTGTCTGCAAAGAAAAGGTAAACACTGAAGCGTTGATCTATATCTTATGGGACCAAGTTTTGCCTTTGTTTCCAGGGTTATTATTAGAATTAGAATTTTATTTGCAAATTAGAATTTTATTTGCACTCGGTGCTTACTTCTGCCAGAGATTTTAATTCATGAGGTTTTCATGAATTCATGAATCATTCGAGTATTATGAAAAGATTTGTGTTAAATCTACGCAAGGTCAATAAAATGTGTCTTCGTATTTGCATGTGTTTGTATCAGTCAACCCAGCTTGGTAGAACTAATTAATGCAGGCTGAATGGAAAATGTTGTTTCAACTTGTGTCGTTTCCAATTATCTGATAATGCCAGTGAATTCTAAGCTACTTTGGTAAACTCAGTCTTTCAAATAAATGGAGAGTTGATGTCAAAAGCTTAGGATAACCCATCCTATAATATTTTTGAGTGTAGACCTCTATATGCTAAATCTTCATGCCCCACAAATTTTTCTCATTTTCTACCTTTTGTTTCTAACTCAATTTTATTTTTTAGAGAATATGTACATAGTATATCTGGGCTTATAAAGAAAAATAGTGTCCCTTGAATCCACTTTCAACTCTAGCCTTTTCTCCTCACATTTATCCTTGTATTTCTGATTTAGCATGTTTATACTGCTGCTTCTTGACTATTCAGTTTTAGATCTTGTCTGTTAACTTTACACTCTAGAAGCTAAGGGTTTAACTCTCTTAAACTGAAGCACTTTATCTTCCCAGTATATTGTATTTCATCATATCTGTGATGCCATCAGTTAAAGGATGCCCCATTATTTTGGTATCACTAAGAAAGTAAAAAGACGCTGCCAATTAAAGTAGGTCATGCCATCATTTATGAGTCATATCTCAGTATTGCATCTTTTTTCCCTCATAACTGAGCCTCATAGGATACTGTTACTATGTCTCCTTTATTATACTCTCCACAGCTGTGTTCCTGGGACTTCACCATCATCCTGAGAATCCTCTTTGGTGGATCCCTTCTTACTCTTGTTTGAGTTTCCCATTTCATGGTCAGTCAGATCTCCCTAGGATTCCTTTATAAGAGGTTTTCAGTATAAATTTTTTGAGATCTTGCATTCTAAAAATGTTTTTCGATTCTCATGCTTGACCCTGTAGCTTTTCTCTGTAGACTTCTTTATTAGAAATTGTTTTCCCTCAGAATTTTTAAGGTATTTTACAGTCTTTTTTTTTTTAAATTATGTAATTCTGTTACTTTGTAATTGTTTAAATGGTAAGGAATCTGCCTGCAATGCAGGAGACCCTGGTTTGATCCCTGGAGAAGGAAATGGCAACCCACTTCCAATATTCTTGCCTGGAGAATTCCAGGGACAGAGGAGCTTGGTGGGCTACAGTCCATGGGGTCGCAAATAGTCAAACACAACTGAGCAACTAGCACTTTGACTCACCGATTCTAGGATAGATTTTTTTTTTTTTTTAACATTTTCACCTTTGGAAATCAGGCTGTCTTACAATTAAAATCTATTGTAGTTTTAGTGGCATTGTTTTTTCTTAGTAGTATATAAACTAATCGGTATGTTTTACAGTTGGTGGCTTCTCAAATTTGGTGAGGTATGATACATAGAGGTGTTGGTTCCCTGGTGGTGCTAGTGGTAAAGAACCTGCCTCCCAGTGCAGGAGACACAAGAGACTTGGGTTTGATCCCTGGGTTGGGAAGATCCCTTGGAGAAGGAAATGGCAACCTGCTCCAGTATTCTTGCCTGGAGAATCCCATGGACAGAGGGGCCTGGTGGGCTACAGTCCATGAGATCACAAAGAGTTGGACATGACTGAGCATGCACACATCTCATCTCAGGGGTGTGTTGGAGACATTTCATCAAAACTGCTACATGACTGCTCTGCTCAAAAAAATCTAATTCCAGTGATACACAGATACATTTTTAAAGAATAATAATAAAGTCTACTTCTTATACTTCTAACCCACAAATATGAGATAAACACTTAGTTTGATACTGGACCTTATAAGTCAGATCTCTGATTTTCTTGTTTGGCTTTTCTAATTTTTGTCTTTTACTTGGCTGTATTTTCTGCAAAGTTTTTCTGAATGTTACCTTTAAAACCTATTGTGAATTTAAAAAAAAATTTAATCCCATACCCCTAAAAATTTATTGAAATTTTGTTTTGTCAGTCAATTTTAATTTCTTAGGGGTCTTTCTTGTTTTTCTTTTTTTTCACTTGTAGTAAAATACATGTAACTTAAGATTTATCATTTTAACCGTGATGAATAGTGTCGCTCACATTCCACTCTTCCCTTGGCCCCGGCAACCACCATTCTGCTTTGTGTCTGTGAATTTGACTGTTCTAGGTACCTCATATATGTGGGATCAAAACAATACTTGTCTTTTTGTGACTGACTTAATTCACTTAGCATAATGTCCTCACGGACCATTCTTTGTTTTAGTGTGTATCAGTACTTCATTCCTTTCATTGTGCAGTGATATTCCATTGGATAGACATATACCACATTTTGTTCATCCACTCACCAGCTGAATATTTAGCTTGTTCACTTTTTGGCTATTATGAATAATGGTACTGTGAACATTTATATTAAAGTTTTTATATAGACATATGTTTTCTCTTGGATTTTTAACTGTATAGAATTGCTGGGTCGTATGGTAACTCTATATGTAACTTTTTGAGAAGTTGCCAGACTGTTTTAACAGAGCGGCTGAATATTTTACATTTCCATCCTCAGTGTTTGAGAATCCCAATATCTACATAACCACCACTAACATTTGTTACTGTCTGTCTTACTGATTATGGCTATCCTAGTGAATGTGAAGTGGTTTCTCATTGTAGTTTTGATTTGCATTTCCCTATTGGATAATTATGTCAAGCTTTTCATGCATGTTCTTATTGGCCGTGTTTATCGTCTTTGGAGAAGTATCTATATAAATTCAATTTTGAATTATGTTTCTGCTTGAAGGATAATGAAGAGTTCAGAGTTAGCTGCCCAGTCCCTGCAGAGGATGAACAGACAGACTGCACCTCTGCCCAGCAACTCAGTATGAGCCCCAGTCCCCCATGTACAGCTGAGCTTTCTGCATTAAGGTACAAGCTTCAATGTAGATGATCTTTCACATTAAGATTACTTTTGCATCTGGTCATTTGCTCAGCTGTTTCTTTGTGCTATATTTTAAGCCTAATGTCAAGTTCTTTTTTCAGTAGCACAACTCAGCCTGAAAAGGATCTAGTAGAGGATTCCACTGTTCAGAAGGATGTTCCCAGCCAGCCAATAGTACCAGTTTCTTCCCCGAGTACTGCAAAGCCATCGAGAACAAATACTGTTTCACCATGTAATAATAACATAAGTGCGGCTGTAGCTGTGGCCCTGCAGGTAACCTGATAAATTAAGTTTATGTGAGAATAAAACAGTAGGTTAAATAATGAGAAATTTTATTTTTCATAGAACCCTGCTAGAGCAGAGTCATTTGGAAATAGCCCAAACTGGGGCTGGCTGCCTGCATCAAAAAAGAGTTTAAATAAATGAAAAAGAAAAAAAAGAGTTTAAAGTCAATCTGAAGATAAAGGAAATTTTAGCCTTGTTGAGGGAGTAAAGAAATTGCTGTCATTATTTCCAATCATTATGGTTAAGTGAAGCTTACTTTTCTTGGCAACTGTGTCTTTTTTGGCTTCGAGCCTCTTGAAATTCTTTCTGTATAATGCTTAACAAATCTATGAAACCCTTGAGGGGCCACTGCCATCTTTATTAAGTTTCCAGAATCATTTTTATAAATTTGAAAAATACAAAAATGCGGAGGGGAAGAACCCACAGAATTTAGCCCTAAGTCTTTCATTTATTGATAAAACTGTCCATTTTTGGTAGAGCTCTTTCTTTTTCTAGTTAAGAACATTTTACCTTGTCATTTAATAACAAAAGTAATAACAATAATAGAATAGCAGCTGCCAGTTTTTACATGCATTCTTTATGCTAGGACCAGGACTACAGTCTTTTTGCATACTTTGGCCCATTCTCACAGCATCCCTGTTCTCTTCCTTTTCAGATGAGGTAGTTAAGACTTTATCATTATTGGTTTCCAGATGCTCTGCTGAGATTTTTGTGGTCTCTCTCTCAGGATTCTTAGCCAGGGAAGAGAGAATGGAACCATTGTATTTCATCATTTTTAATTTAATCTGTTTTTCCTTGTTAGACACTTAGGTTTCCAGTTTTTTTGTATCACTATAAACAGTGCTGACTTGTACATCCTTCAAATAAATATCTCAAGTGAAATTATGGTATTATATATAAAATGCTAGGACTTTTTAATTATATTCAAACTTTTTTTTAATTGTTCCAGTACACCAATACACTTAATAGCAATTTGTATGAGATTGCCTGTTGCCCTTTCCTTACTGATTTCTTATGGTTGACACTACTTGTTTTGAACTTTATCACTTAGAGTATATGTATCATAAATGTTTTTGTTTCTCTGCTTCAAAGGAACCTCGAAAGCTCAGTTATGCTGAAGTGTGCCAGAAGCCCCCTAAAGAGCCAGCTCCAACTCTTGCGCAGCCACTGAGAGAACTGCGCTCCAATGCAGTATCTCCCACCAAAAATGAAGAGAATGGAGCTCCCGAGAAGTCCTTTGAGAAACAACATGAGAAGCCAGAAGCAAGGGCTAGTAAGGATTACTCTGGCTTCCGAGGCAATGCCATTCCCAGGGGAGCAGCTGGAAAAATCAGGGAACAGAGACGCCAGTTTGGCCATAGGGCTATACCTCAGGGAGTGACTCGACGTAATGGCAAAGAGCAATATGTGCCACCCAGATCACCAAAGTAAAAAACAAAACAAAAACTATTCAAAACCTTCTCTCTCTTCCCATTAAACTTGAGCCGTGGCTATACTGAACTGTTTTGGAGGGGAGGGGGTGGCCAGGAAGGAAGCAAGAGAAAGTACATCCTTAAATCATTATGGATTTTGGAGTTGTGAGCAGTAGAATCCCAAAATTCATCTCTAAAGTGATTTTAAAATGCTGGAGGATTCCAATCAGTATAAATATATATATATATATATGTATACATATATAAAAATATAATTTTTCTATTTTTGTTTTTGATTTTAATTTGCAGAGATCTTCTGCCTGGAATCAATTTTGAGGGTTCAGATTTAGCTTGGGAAAAAAACATATTACACATCCTTCAGTAGGAGACGAGGGAGTGAGAGAAAATATTTTTTGAAGAAGCATTTCTGTAAAATTAGAAATTAATTTTTTTAATCTATTTAAAGTTTGGCTTGGAGAATGCCATTTCTGCCTATATGGCCTTGTGTTGCAAAACAGATCAGTGGCTGGGGTGCCTGTTGTGGTGTGAGTGTGTGCAAGTGTGATTGAAGCCAAATCTGTTGTCATGTTAGTAAATGATTTGAAAACTGAATGTAATACTTGAGTAGATTTTTTTCCAGTTTGAAATTTAGACTGTCTTTTCAACCTTACTAATATTTCATTCAACAAGCTGTTAAACTCTGATTGTACTTAGAGATATGACTACCAATCAGTTTGAAATTCAAGGAAAAAATGGGGGTTATTCAAAAAATTGTAATTTTATAGTAGATCTGAGTGGGTGGGTCAAATGGAGTTCAGAGGTTTAAGCAGCCCTGTGATTCTCCCCAGCCCCCTAAAATAGGAAACAGTTTTCTTTTGTTAACTTCATTTGTCATTCTCAGTTCTTTGACTACCTACCCCGAAAAGCAAAATAACCAACCAACTACAGAATTGTATGTTTCTAACTGCCTTGATCGGTCTAGTCAAATCATAACTGTTCTAAATTTCTGACTTGAACATTGAAGGATTTTACTCTTCTGGTCATGTATTTAGAACTTATATCCCATAATGGTAGGGGAGACAGACCCTACAATAATTTATTTGTTAGTGTTAAAGATGAAACATTGTAGCCAACTCTTAAAGTGTTAAATAGTGTAGACATTAAAAGAAATTTCTTTTTAAAGGCTTAATTTGGGGACAACTTTTTTTCTGTTTACAATGTATTTATCACCTCCTTTCTTTCTCTTTCTCAAAAAAAAGAAAAAGATTTGGAATTCACAGAAACGGAGCCAGCAAGTCGCAAAATTTTTGAGTTAACAAGTTAGATAATTAAAATTAACATAATTTCTCAGTGAATAAAGTTTTAACTCATATGAAATAGACAAGTTTACATGCTGGTGTTTAGAAAATGGCTAAAAAATCAAAAACCATGTTGCATTAATCTGTTTTAAGTCATACCATTTTCAGAGTTCTGTGTTTTCTCTTTAGGGATAGTTTGTGATAGTAATAACTGTCCCTTATGTTAGTGAATTACATTTGTACAAACTGAAACTGTAAATTGTGAACACTGGAAAGCACCATTGTGACATAGAATAATCATCTTAGTAATATATTAAAATGAATGTAAATGGAGGTTAAAATTACATTACTGTGAAACTCATCTTCCAACTCTAAGTTAAGCTTTGGAGATTTGTATTAGTAGGTAATTGTTCAGAGCTTTGAAAACACTGCACATTTCTGTACAATCCAGAATTATCACTTCTTTGTAACTTATTATTCAGCTTGGCAATTGCTTTTGATTTGGTGGATTGATAACATGATATAATATATTTAAGCAGTTCGAAGCTATTCATTTCTACACACTATTTTCTACTAAATGAAACATACAATAAAACTACCTGTGTTGAAATTTGGGGGAAGTTTAGGTCCTTTAAAGAAAAAAAAATATTAATAATCATTGACTACATCTATGATAAAAGTGCTTATTTTGGTTTACTTAGATAATGCTGCAGCTGGTGGAATGATAAGCATTTAAAGTGTTAACACTCTGTGAATGCATTGGATTTAAGAGAATAAACATTTTATAAAAATCACTTGGTAAGGATTATAAACTTAATTATTGCACTTAGATGAAACTTTTTTTTTAACAATGTGTCACAGAAATAGGCCTTTATTATTTGTATCCTTGTGTGTCTTACTGTTGTTAGTCTACCTAACTTCTAGAAACTGTTTTAATTGATACACAAGACAAAAGAGTTCTTCTTTAAGAAAGCAAGTGGGTTCTTGCTTCTTCCAAGAATGTTATTGAAAGTAGAAATTTAAAAACATGACCATTTTAAAATTTCTTATTAAATACAGTGTTTTAACTTAATTTGCCTCATTACAGCTAATAGTTTCCATTTTGATGGGATGTATAGGGAAGAATGTGTGTGTGTATGTGTGTGTGTATATATATAATATATATATTCACAGTATGTATTTAGCATTTATTTTATTACATCAGATTAAGGTCTGTATCTAAATGATGCCTGTGAGTTGTGTGAAACTGATGGTTTTTTCTGTCCAGCGTTACTCTGTAAACTGACGAGGGTTGGGCATTCATTGTAGTTTAACTATTTATTTGGTCCTTTAGAAGGCAGAATTTAAATGTCTAGAGTTTCTCTTCCTTCTTATGACTTAACACTTCCTTGGGTTGTTGGAGGTAAAAGTAGATACAAATGATAATTGAGTGTGTGGTACAATGATCTTCTGCTATATATAGTTCTTAAGGTATGAGGAGAAGAGTTATACGTTCATCACCTTGCACTTCATAGAGAAGCTATATAGAGATATGGCAAAATCTGCCTCCATTTTCTATCCAGATAATTAAGATTTTCATGTTATCTAGGCCTGTCTTTGAGTAATTTCATTTTTGCAAATACACTGGCATTTAAAGGAATGATCCATCTAAATTTTTTTCAACTGGATTTTAGAAGAAGATACGATCTTTCAGTAATATGGTTTTATTGTTATCATCGTATGTGTTCAATTTGCATGTGATGAAATGACATGCACATTTATTTATTTTGGGTTCCTAAAAATTAAGGTAGCTTGAATATTGTTTTACATTCCTTTTTCTTAAATAACCAGGATGGCTTTGGAGAAGGCTTCATGATGGAGTATTAGCATCTGCTGGAGCAGAGAATAGTATTTAAAAGTCACTGAACACTTTCTAAAGTTTTATTAGTTGTGACATTAATATGTAATCTTTTGGCTTAAATGTCCACTGGTTTTTTACTTTGACACCGTTAAACAGTACTGGGGTTAAGTCTCTGATATTTATGTTGGCCATGTATATTAACCATATTTTTAAAATACTGTTTTTGTTTTTACAGAAAAGGTAAAATGCAAAAGTATGTTCCTTTTGAGGGATTTTTATAAATTCTTAACTACAGTTTATGGGGTTCTTTCATAACTTTTTACATTTCTTTACAATTTGGTGGCCATTAATTTAACCTAGGGTTTTTTGGTGTATGTTAATTTAGCTAGTCTGAAATTTCAAGAAGAAACATAGACATTTCAGTCCTCATTAAATGAGAACATTTTAAGAAGTTGAAAGAGAATTTTTTAGGTTGAGAGTATTTTCTTTTAAAATCCACCTGATTGTTAAATAGTTTCAGTTTTATTTTTAAAAGCTGCGAATTGTTGAGTAGACTGTTCCTAAAAGTACAAGTGAGGTATCAATAAGGCTGTGTATAAAATGGTTTTATTTTCAGTTATGCAGCACAAAATACTGATTAGTATAAGAAACAGTCTGCATCATTATTGGGTTTTGTCTTTTTGCTTTTTGCCTGATTCAGGTGTCCTTTGAGTGACATCTCGTAAATATTGAGCTTAGGGGTCAGAACCAGTTATCTGGCTTCTTTTGTTCATTGCTAAGATTTGTTCTTGTCCACACTGCCCCCCCGACGCCCCCCCCCGACATGTGACACATGCTCATGCATATTATGTTAAAATAAGTACATCCTTGTATTTGTATTTTTGTTTTCAACATTGCCAAGGTGCTATCGGAAATTAAAGTGACACAAAATTAGAAAAAATAAAATTATTAAAAAGCAGGACTGGTTTCCTTTTCTCCAGGTGGCTTATATCTAATGACTGCTTGTATTTACTTCCTGATTACTTTTTATGTTGCCCACTCTGTAGTTCTATTCTGATTTCAGCTGTTGGTTTTTTTGTGTGGGGGGACTGGGGGTGCTTGAAGTGGATTGTGTGATACTTCATCTGCAAAGTGAGAGTAAAAAGAAGATTCAGCTCTGTGATTCCGGGGTTTTATTCTTTTAGTGTCACAAGCAGTTATTGAAGGGAAGAAAAATCATAAGGTAATATATATCTTTAGAGTTTTGCCTTCGTGGGTCAGATAATGGCCTGACTTGAGTATGTAAGCTCTGGACCTTTAAACTTCTATTTTGAAGAGAAAACCTTGGTTCCTTTACTTTTTCAAACACTTCTTTGCTTTGAGTACAAACAGTATGAATCTTAATTTTTTTTAAATCAATGATAATGGCAAAAATGGAAAAACTGAATAACCTGTGGCTTCTTCAAATAACTGATATCTGTAAATTAATGTCATAGTTCAACTTTTATTTAATATAGTATTGCTATAAAGCCCTTAAGTGTTATATAGCTGTTATGCCACAGTTCTTGAATTGTCTAGCTATAAAGAAATTTTTAATAGTAGAAATCAAGGTCTTTTAAATATAGGCTAATTTGAAATTAAATATTCTAATCCTCATATATTCAGAAATTTTTATTCAACCAAGTTATGTGTTGTATGTTTATTATACATAATGGTAACATTTAATGTGAAGATTCACTTTGATAGTTACTTAGCTCAGTAATATTGTCCTTGCAAACAGCCAAAACCTTTATTTTGCTAATGAACATTTATCTTAATGAAGTTAGCTGGTGTCAGTGAACAAAATCATCCCAGTAATAACAGATTTACAGGGGTAACATGCTAACAAAGCATTAGGGCCTT